GCCACATAAAATACCAGACCAGACCAAACCAATTAGTAGATCTAGTTTCAATAATCGTAAAACGTCAAAACACAACGCATTTTAAACTGAACCAATTGTAAGCACCAAACACATTCTCTTGGGTCTTGGACTTTTACCAGAAGTCAGGGCCTTGCACACAATAATATGTGGTATTGGGAATTGTGTACAATAATATTTCAGGTGGAGAATTAATTGATAAGCATTTAACACCAATTAATAAATCAAATCAAAAGAATAAAAATTGTTAATCGAAAATAATCAAAAAAATTTGCTATAAGTTTGTGTAAAATCGTTAGGTGCTGTGTACATTAAAACAGATATTTCTTATTTGCTTCTAAGATGTTTTCTTTTTGAACTTTTAGAAACTATTATCCAAAGTCCGAACTTCAACCAGACTTGCCCCATTTAAATAGTGCTAACTCTAATAAATGCTCCTTTAAATATAGGCATCCCAAATTGCATCAAAAAATATTCATTTAAATTATTGACGAAACACGTCATTGTCCAGGAACCAAAAAAAAAAACCGGGAAATGCTCACAACCTAAACTGTGCCACCGCATCGAGGCATAGTCATAGTTTGAAATAAGCTAATTGAAATAGCCTTCAAATGACTTTATGAAATATGCAAACTATTGGCAATCGGAATGGAAATGGTACGAAATGACATCGAAACGAAAGTCCGAAAGGGAATTTAATTTAATTCGACGTTTTATGAACATCGATTGTTGCAGTTTTATCAATCGTGTTCGCAGTTTAGTAGTAGGTTTTTTATGTAACGCCCAAAGAGCACACTGCAGAGTTCGTGAGGGGCCAATCAACAGCGAAATAAATAATAAAAAAAAATAGAGGGAGGGTAAAAAAAAAAAATGGGAAAAAGAGAAAACAATTGTTTATTATTTATTTACGTCGTGGATTTGTATTTCTTTTCGCGTATGTGGCGCACAATTCAAGGCCAAACCTTTATTTGTGCCATATTTCATTGTTTGAATTTTCGGCGTTTTTCGGTTTTTTCGCCTTTTGCCTTCGTGGGCGACGTCGTGTAAACATAGAAAAATTGCCAAATTAACTGGCCATGTGAGTTGAATGGAAAAACAGATTTTGAAACGGTATTCGGCCCGTTTGTTTGGACTTTATGGATATTTTCAATTGCGTACCGCCTCAAAAAAAAGGGGGTGATGATGGCGCAAATGAACCGGTTCGTCCAGGCATATTCTCAATTGAATGCAAATCGCAGTGTAAAAACCCTCGATTGCATGACAATCCTAAAGGTTATCGGTTCAAACCGGTCTCCAGAGCATGCTTTTAACAAATCTTATTCAATTTGAATTTTTTAAATGTAATTCTTTTAATTTATGGTAGTGCTTTAAGGAATTTCATTTTTTTATGCCGCCTGTTCGGATTTAATTAATAATTTTATTGGCAGGCAGATTGGATGATTGAGTTGGTGAAATTTAATCGTGTTCAGCTGGTTTTCAGGTTTTTATCGTAAAAGAGTTACTTCTTCACCGTTATGGTTGTTAATTAAAATGAGATTATTTTAGGGTTTTAACATTTCCACTGATTTACTCACAGTCATGACTTATGAAATTAAATTATTAAGGTTAACTGAAAAAGTTATAACCTAAACAAAACTTCATCCACATAAATAAATCGAAAGTATAATGAATGAATATATAAAGTGTAAATTATGTTTTTCGTTAATATATTATTATAAGAAAGACGCTAATCTCACGGTACCTTTCTAGAAAAAAATATAACCTTTTCCTTAAAGCAATAAATAACCATATACAGCAATGTGCTTAAACAAATGTTGGACTTCACAGATACATAGATACATTGAAAAAATATTAATTAATTACCAAAAAGCATCCAGATCGACTGGTAACCCTTTCAATTGACCAACAGCTATTTGCTGGACTTTTGCAAACATTTTCGCCAATTGCCATTCTGCATTTGGGGTTTTCGATTCCGTTCGATTCCGGCCGCTGTTTTGTTCTGTTTTGTGTTTTGCGGGCTGCAGCTTTGCGGCTTTTGCAACGCATTTTCAAATGAATTGTTCGGCAAATCAATTTGCATATTGCGCGGCACATTTGCGGTAGCAACAGTCGACGACAACGACAACAACAGGAACAACAAAAACATCGGTTGCTGCCCCAAGAGGTCACCACGCCCCCTCAACTCCATGACCCCGCCCCGGCAATTTACAAAAATATTTTTGTGTTCACACTCAATTAATGCCAATTGACTGCAAAATTGCCAACACCTTTGACACTTTTCGAATGCAAATGAAAATGGAAATGGATGTGAAAACAATCTCACAGTGCGCACAGTGAGTATCTATGGACGAGTATCTACATATCTATGTATCTGAAATGCCCAAGCCAATTTACAGGATGGACAAAGCTCGCGGTTTTCTCCCGTTGCTGGATGCAAAGTAAATCAATAAATAAATAAATTGTCACATGCAAAATTCATGAGAAAATTCTCAAAATACATGAGTCGTATTGATAACAGGCAGCAAGAACAACAACCTCGAATTATTCACATTTTGAACGCAATTGAACTTTTCGCATAAATTTTCGTGGCAAGAACTCTGCTGACTTTTTATATGGCCACATATATGAACAGTATTGAATTGAATTAAATTAATTGTAACAGCTTAATTGATAAATAATTTGTATTGTTATTGCATTAAATCGGGTGGACCCGATACAAAATGCGAGAATATTACCCACACTGAAATTGATGGTGCGGCTGAATGGGTTGGAAACCCAGCAAGTACAACAGATTAATTTAATGGTTCTGTGTGGTCGACTTATCAGATACTTGCCAGCGTTTTTAGGGCCCTTAAAAATATTATCTACGTTTTTGGGATATATTAAGACGTCGTTTTATTGCAACCTTTATGCGCTGACACAGTGACATAGATTGATATGAAAAAATTGTCTTTAGCTGACACACAATTTAGTTTATTTGAGCATATCATATCTCTCTAGGTTCATTGTTTTAATAAATACCTTTAAGTCTTCTTTTTACACAAGTTTAATGACAATCACTTTTAAAAAATCTGTTTTATTTTATTTTGGAACTGTGTTTTTTCACATAGACCCAAAACATTACGTTAGTATAAACGAATTAACGCTGATTTCGGGTTAAATTAGCATTGCAAGCGCCGCAATCTTCTCAAGAGCAAGAGCAGGGACAGAAGAAAGAGATGGCAATGTGTGAGATGAAAGAGACAAGTGCATACCTTTTTTTTTGCTCACTTGGCTTCTTATTTACGTATGTACCGACTTTATATTTTATTCATTGGACTTTTGGAGCATGGTCAGTTATCGGAGCTGTTCGTCAGCTGTTGCTATCTCTTCCGGGTTAAATCGAAGGCAGAGAAAGAGACGGCAGGCTTTGGGCAGAAAGAGAGGCTCACAGGCACCTTTCCCGTTCTTTTGCCGTGATTTGGTTGTTAAAATCGGTACAAAATTAACCATGCAGCCCTGGCAAGTGCGATTCCCATGTAAATCGCAACCCCCTGGTTTTTAACACTGCTTTTTTTTCTGCTGGGTTAACCCCGTTTGCGATTTTTTTACGCGACTCAGCGAACTCTTTAAATTCATTGTGTGTTTGCACCCGATATGCTGGCACTTGTTTTCGATTTTATTTTAATTAAAATTATGTCAACGCAATTGAAATGTTATTGAACCAGCACGAACGATGCTTGCCAAATCGACGAGTTCATTAATTTGGATTTTGTAACTTTTATACAATGTGCGGTAACAGCAACAACAACAACAACAACAACAAAAACACCAACGATAGCAACAACACTTGCAATATTAATGCACACCGAACTTTGCGAAGTTCCCATAATTTATGGCCATTGTGATAAAGAAACAGTCGGCATCGCGTCGAGAACAAAAAAAAGCATTGGAAGCTAACAAAAATGTAACAGTGAAGAGTTTCAATACTCTACATGAAAGCTAATATATAGCAAACAAGAGTATTAAAATAAAAAAATTGATCTATTAAAACAAATTGGTTTAAAAAAACCAAAGGAAACTAAACACATTTATTTTTGTTTTTTTATTTAATATATATTTTCTCTAAATGATTTTTCATGTATTTATTATCAATGTCATTAATAACAAATAAATGGGGAACTATTACAAAATATCCCCACTTATATAGCTTTTAAGAAAGTTTCAATAAAAATTCCCAATCTTAAATTGCACAAGCCAAAATCGCCAAGCGATACCCATTTAGCTGTCGATTTTTATTCAGGTCGGAAGTTCTCCTCTTCCTCCGAAAATCCCATTAATACCGTATACCCCCAATAGCTAGTGTTACTACAAAATATGAAACGAAATGCGGACTGGCCGTAAAATGCATTTTCAGCAGAAGCCAGCAATAAGCAAGCGTAAACAGTTGTGTTTAATCAACTAAAACAGAGGAAAAACGAAGGAAAAGTGCGAAAAAGAAAAACTGAATCGAACAGAAACGAGCGGAAGAGTGGGTGGGAAATGTGAGTGGGCTCATGGGTGGGTGCTTGTGATGGCGAAACTTGTCAACGCCCCCGCGAAATTGTTCCTTTTCGCGATTTATGGCAGGAAATTTATCAGCTGAAAAATATACACGGAAAATGGGAAGCTAAACGAAAACCAATTGGTTAAATACTCTCTTCGGGTGTTGAGTAAAGAAAATATGTAAATACATTTTCAGTTTTAAGATATTTGAAAAGAAATCATTTAAAAGACAATGAATGATTTATAATTAGAACTTACACACTTTGTTTTTAAATTAAATTAATAATGCAAAATACACATGCTAATTTAATAAATTAAAGTCCCCCTTGAAAGAGAACTGGAAACCACTATCGATGAACTGTGCCAAACATAAACAAAAGTGCCCTTCCAAAAAAAATGGTGCTGTCTATATCTGTTGCTATTTGTTAATATATCTGGCTATAAAAACCAATACTCACCCCAAATCAGGCCACATAAAGACAAAGATATATGAAGTGGGCGGTAGGCAGTGTCAAAAAGTCCTTTCCAATCGAACCGACAATCTTTTTGCAGGATGTACAATACTTTTTTCTTTTAGGTGGTTTTTAATGGGTGTTGGTTGGGGTAACTCTGCAATTAAAGAGAAGCAAAACCAAATTAAAGAGTTTGTAACATTAAATCAACACGAGTGTAGTGCCCCGGATTTGGTGATAAACAAAATGTAATGAAACGAATAAGTGATGGGTGTGGTTCAGTTGTCAAGAGGAAATCTCAAATGGCGCACTAAACAAGACCGTCGACCTTGAATATAAATTTCAAGAATTTTAGTTTTCGAATATGTACACAACATCCGGAAAACGATAAGCAATTTAGTGGTTCTGCCGCCCCAAAACTTTGATAAATAATTCACTCAAGTTGAACTTTCAGGGGCATTAATGGTGCGATTTGTATATTTTTGGAAAGGACTCTTTGAGTTTAAGTGAGTATGTGAAGTGGGCCATTAAACTGTTTTTAATACACTGATTATCCATTTTATACTTCTGACTGTACAGGAAGTAATTACTTTTAAAGCTGTGATATATTTGATATTAAATCTCTTTAGTTATAAGGTCATAAAAATTTCAGAAAGTAGGAAATGAACAAAGATTAAAGCACTAAATTAATGTTCATAAAAAATCAGCTTGGACCAAAGTGAATAGAAAAATGTTGTTGCGGGATTATTATAAAAGTTTCTATTTAAATTCTTCAAAAGAAAATAATCTATTTTTATTTATGTTTTCAAATTAGACCTTTTGAAGGTCTTAAATTGTATTTAATTGATTTTTGGGGCCCTTAAAGCACCTAAGGCTATTCTATTCCTTTTTTTCAAACAAACTAGAATTCATCTCTTTCTTTTCTGCTCCTAGTCTTTTTTTGGTTGTGTTCGAACGTTTCAGTGTTACAAATCCAGTTATTTGTTGAATTTGACAGTTTAATTCTACGCCTCGATGAACGAACCGAACCCCAATCAGAATCGACCCCCTCTTTAACCCTCACGCAATGCCATGTGTCTATTTCAATCCCACAGATACAGATGGATGGCGGTGCAGAGTGGAGATGAACACTCGTGACGTGAATTTAACTGTGTCACGAGCTAGCAATATCTACATATTTTTGTATTGTAAAGAATGTAAATCATAAACCACAAAATTAACTAATGAGGTAGTAGAAAGATTAGATGTAAAAGATTTTAAAATATTATAAACATTTCATTTTTACCAATATTTGAATAGACCAGATAAAACGTTTATCGATAAATCAACAGAAAGCTGTTATATATATCTGACTCTTAATTCAATGAAATATTATTTTAATTACATTTTTTTTTTAATTTTCGTTATGCAAATTGACACATAACTCTTATTTTCCATTTCTTTAGTATATATTTAAACTAAAGGATTACATCCAATTTTTATTTTTAGATTACAAAATATACGATGCAAGAAGTTTGGAATTTTCGTACACTTTCTGTTTTAGTGACAGCCCCCCAGAAACTCGAGTTTAGCCTTTAGTCTATAGAAAGAAAATTGCGCACATCTCTGGCGTCGAAACAGACACATCAGATGTATCTGATAGCAAGCTTTGTTGTTGATTTGAAAATCAAACAACTTTGACATTTTGATTTTTCAAGGAAAATTTTGGATGAGCCTCCAGTAAGATATTTAATCCTATAGATGTTGAAAAAATAATACAACAAAAACAATGCCCCAACAAAATGTTTATATGAATGAATATATAAATGAACAGAAATTTGCATCGAGGCACGAAATTTTCTATGTCGCCTACTAGACATTCAAGTTAGCGTTCGCTAATGGATTTCACGGGTGCCGCGGGAACCCGAGCCAGAGGGTTGGGTGGTAGGGCCCGGGGCTGAAACTTGTCCAGAAATCAAGCGAGCAATCAAGAAAGCAGACTGAAAGCCAGCGAAGAGCAAATCAAGAAAGATAATAAAAATAAAACGAGTGAGAAATGCCGCGAAGTGCCAAAAACAAGTTTAAATGTCAAAATGTAACTCCCAGACGGCAACGATAAAAAACCAAAAAAAAAAAAACAAAAATACAAAAAACAAGTAAATATACGAAAATAAAACCCAGGGAGGCAACAATAATTGTTGCAATATTGCAAGTTGCTCGGACGCCGCAACAGCAACAAAAATCAAATTAGCGCCTGTTGCAATCGACAGACGTTGTTATTAATTTTTGTCTTTTTTTTCGGTTTGTTTTTACTGCCGTTCATAATTCGCACTTATGCAAAAAATGCTTAAATTAAACGCAATTTTTTTTACTTGTTTTCATCTGACAATAAAAACGGGGAACAACTGCAATAACAACAGTCGCAACGAGTTGGCGACGAAGACATATAAATGATAATCATTATAAGTCCGTTAAAATTTATGAACAATGAAAACTTCAACGACCACAAAAATTTTAGGGGGATGAGCGGGGATGTGTGGCTAAAATTAAAATAACGCCAAGCAAATTTGAATTGAGATAATAAAAGGCTCTAAGAGAGTTATTTTTTATCGGAGTGCAAGATGAACATTTGGACGAGTAAATTGATGATACCCGGTATTAATTTGTGCTGATTCGTTCTGGGTAAATCAGAAGCAAAAAATGGCAGATATATTATCTTCTACGTGTACAACTTGCTTTAAGCAAATTCCAAAAAGCCATTATAAAGGCTTATGTAGAATCTATTATATTTTATTCGTTTTAACGGAAAACTGGTAAATTGAAATATATAAAGCACAATTATCAAACATGACTTAAGTAAGAAAATGATTCATCTGGGTCCCCAGATCTGCCTTTAGACTACCAAATAAAAATGCATTAAAAATAATCGAAAAGTTACCATGCTTTAACTCATGATACGGCGATTTTGATTATTTCACAATTTTTGTAAATATAAAGGCGCTTCTCTGAGAATTATCTGTGGGATATGGCTTAGGTCTTGAACTCTGTCGATCCCACAGATCCCAAGACAAGAACTGCGACCAAGACACGATTAAAGCTCAATTAATTGCGCTTGACAATGACAAGGAGGCAGCATCATCATCATCATCATCGGCTACAGTCTATAGTCTATAGTCTATACTCTATAGTCGATGGAATAAACCAGCTCCGATGTCAGGGACAGCCGAAAACACCAGTCAAATCGTACGTGGGGGAACTTTGCCCGCTGAAAGGGGGTGGAGTGAGGCTAAAGTCATAATCATTATCAAGAAAGACACATGGAGGCGGTCTATAGCTATAAGTCGATGCAATCTGTTTTTTTATAGACTTGTATTTGTTGGTTTCCTCTTGCTTTGAGGGATGAGTACTGTCTCTGGCTTTGATTAAACAAATTGATATACATGTAATGATTTTAAAATATTACACTTATAAGATTATAGATGAAATAAAATTAATACATATGTAATAGTACACTTATAATAAAGTAAGATTATAGGATTATAAATTAAATAATATTAATACATAATAGTACACAATAGTACATTTGTAATACAGTATTAATTAGGGCTTAAGAAGTTTGGTTTAATTCTTACTGAACTTAAAAATCCTATCCACTCAAAAGCACAACAAATAAATAAATACCATTTGGGAATAGTTGCATTTACTTTTAAATTAATACATATTCCTTCAATGTATCAGTTTCTTCCAGTGTAGGATTAAAACTCAATGCAGGTCAATGTTCTCGACTCGCAAAATGTTTTCCACATTGTTTTTATACCCTTGCAGAGGGTATTATAATTTTGGTCAGAAGTTTGTAACGCAGTGAAGGAGACGTTTCCGACCCCATAAAGTATATATATTCTTGATCAGGATCAATAGGGGAGTCGATATAGCCATGTCCGTCTGTCCGTCTGTCCGTCTGTCCGTCTGTCCGTCTGTTTCAATACCGTTTGCGAGCTCAGTTTAAAAGCTAGCGATCTGAAACTTTCACAATCGTTCTAAAACATGTGTACGCAGATCAAGTTTCGCCCCGATCGGACGTCTATATCCTATAGCTCCCATAGGAACAATTGGATATATCTTGCAAGAATTTATGATATTTCGCGCAGTGTAAAAGCTATTGACATTAATCTTTACAAATCGTATTTTTTTATGCATACCTTGATCAGGGTAAAAGCGCGTGGCGATCGGACGTCTATATCCTATAGCTCCCATAGGAACAATAGGGTAAAATCGGTTAAAATTTAATGATTTTTAGGATATTTCGCGCAGTGTAAAAGCTATTGACATAAATCTTTCCAAATCTTATTTTTTATGCGTACCTTGATCAGGGTAAAAGCGCGTGACGATCGGACGTCTATATCCTATAGCTCCCATAGGAACAATAGGGTAAAATCGGTCCAAATTTGATGTTTTTCAGAATATTTCGCGATGTGTAAAAGCTATTGCTGTACATTTTTTCAAATCGTATTTTTTTATGCATTCATTCATCAAGGTAAAAGCGCGTGCTGATCGGACGTCTATATCCTATAGCTCCCATAGGAACAATACGGTGAAATCGGTCAAAATTTCATGTTTTTATACCCTTGCAGAGGGTATTATAATTTTGGTCAGAAGTTTGTAACGCAGTGAAGAAGACGTTTCCGACCCTATAAAGTATATATATTCTTGATCAGGATCAATAGGGGAGTCGATATAGCCATGTCCGTCTGTCCGTCTGTCCGTCCGTCCGTCTGTCCGTCTGTCCGTCTGTTTCAATACCGTTTGCGAGCTCAGTTTAAAAGCTAGCGATCTGAAACTTTCACAGTCGTCCTAAAACAAGTGTACGCAGATCAAGTTTGAAAACCGCCCCGATCGGATGTCTATATCCTATAGCTCCCATAGGAACAATCGGATATAACTTGCAAGAATGGAAGATATTTCGCGCAGTGTAAAAACTATTGACATAAATCTTTCCAAATCTTATTTTTTTGCGTACCTTGATCAGAGTAAAAGCGCGTGACGATCGGACGTCTATATCCTATAGCTCCCATAGGACAATAGGGTGAAATCGGTCCAAATTTGATGATTATCAGAATATTTCGCGCAGTGTGTAAGCTACTAACATAAATTTTTCCAATTCTATTTATTTACGCATAT